AAAAAAAAAAACGGTAACCTGGTTGCCGAGTTCACGAAGTGAATTGGCTTGTTTTACAACGTCTTTGCCAAGCGACGAAAACCCAATCCCGATGGCAAACACCGGGGGGGGCGGCTTGTTTTACAACGTCGTTGCCAAGCGACGAAAACCCAACCCCGATGGCAATCACCGGGGCGGGGGGTTCCTTCAAAGGAAGCTGTGCCGTGCCTGATGTGAGTGTTATCCGCGGCTGCACGAACGAGGCTGGCTCTCTCGGCGACACTGATGGTGTTGTTCGAGGGGAACGACAACGATAGCACTATTAAAACAGCGAACACATCGTCTTCATCGGACTGCTCTTGCTTGACTTTCACCATATGGTTCCTCCAGACAAAACTAATTCTCTCGCAGAGAGACACACACCCTATGGTTGAAGCTCAACGGTAACGAAGAGGCCGACACAGCCGCAGCCGTTGCCCTTCAGCAACCGAAAATAACCCACTAGACCAATCAGTCTATGCTCTAATGGTTTGACGCCGGTTGCCTAAATAAACCCGCACCCGGCGCCGTATGCAATGCAACACGCACACAAGTGATTTCTCCGGAGCGGGCTCACGGGAGCACAGCAATGTCATCGGGGGGTGATGCAAGATGACACAACGAAGGCAGGTAGCAGGACCAGCCCACAGCTGGCTGCCAGCTGCCAGCGTGACGTTGGCCGAGCTGAACAACTCACACACACCTGACGCGTTTTAACTCGAAACGAAGAGCCCTTGCCAACCTCTGAAAAAAAAAAAGGTTGTAGAGTAATTTATCTTGTCGGTTCGTCGAGATTCGCTGGGCTCTGCGAGTGAAAAACAAGTCACCTGTGTGAGCTCTTGAGCTTGTGATACGTCACACCCAGCTGACAACCCGCTATTAATAGTGGGCTGATTGCTGCGAAACTGCATTTATTTCATCTTGCATTGCCCCTTTGATGATGACACTCATGAGCCCACTCCAGAGGGACGGGTCCCTTAGTAACATTTTACAAATCTGTACACACTTTTTACGAGTGGCTCCGGAGCGGGCTCATGGTAACACAGCAGTGTCTCCGAGGGGTGATGCATGATGACACAAAAAAAAAGAAGCCAGCAGATCCAGCCCACTAACTGGCTGCCAGCTGTGACGATTTCCCGAGCACAACAGCTGACGTCGTTTGATTCCAAAGAGCCCAACGAACCTCAACCAACCAAAACAAAAATTTCAAAACTGATAAATGTAGATATCAGCGATCACATGTACCTCAACTCGTTCTTGCCGCATGTAAAATCGGTGCTTGGACAAGGGGCCGCAACTGTTCCTAGACTACGGAGAGGCCCGCACCCCGGGATACCACTCGCTGCTGCGGTGCCCCCTGCCGTATGCGCGTTCGACCGCCCCTCTGGCGCGTCCCCTCTTTTCCTTCTCTTCTCTCACCTGCGTCTTGTCGAAGAAGAAGAGGTGCACGAAGGATGCCGTGGTGTAGGTGCATCGGTACGGCACCTGCATCAGCTGTTCGTCGAGGCCCACGACGGTACCGGCGTTCACTACACGCTCTTTCGCCAGCCTGCGGAGCCTCTGCGTGCCTCCCATCGTCGTGTGCCCAAGCATCCCCTCCGTGTTCTGCGTGCGTAGATAGACAGCGTGAAATAAAGGGGGGCTCGTCAATGCTAGGGGGAGGGAGGGGCATATGTATGGTATTTATTCAGCAGGGACAACCCCGATTTCTTTCATTGCACAAGTCGACTCATCGCTGTGTGTTGTTACGACGACCACCGGGTGTCTGTCAGCCAAGCTGATGGACTTCGCTCTTTGGATGAGATCTGAGTTGTCTCGAAGTTACACGTTATACTGACGCCCTCACACACGACCCCCCCAAACGTAAACAGTTGCTTCTCAAACACAAACCTAGTGTACTACATGCTACGAAGTTTATTCTCGGCTGTTTTTTTTTTGTCGTGGCAAGGTAGGGCGTACGTACCGTCTCTTTTCCTACCCGGTAACACCGTTAGCGCGGCCCATGATAAAACAACACACACAAGCGCGCATGTGATTTGTAGAGATATTCGTTGTGGCGATACCATTAGGCGCGTTGCGCGCTGTTCGAGCTGTGCCCCCCCTCCCTTCCAAAGACCGATGTGAGTCTACCTACCCGCTGGCACTGGACGCCTTTTCATTGGTCAGCCGGGTAAAAGCAGCGCGATCGATGCCAACGAATAGCAAAACGCACACATGCACACACGTATGCATGATGCGTGCGTACCTGACGAACGGCCCCCCTGACGACGCTGAACCAGCCCTGTCTGCGAGCCCCCCTGGCGAAGCTCATCTTCGCGTTCATGAGCACGACGTTGGACCCGTAGAATTCCTCCTGCACAACACACCCAAAAAAAAAGACGGGGCGAGACGAGACGACACGCGACGAGCAAAGACAACATCATCATCAGCATCATCAACCATCATCAATCATCATCACCATGCTGCCACCAAAGAACAACGCATGGAAACAAGAAGGCCAGGTATTCACGAGTGGCAAAACAAGCGATGGAAATAAAAAAAACGAGCTTCGATTGGTCGAAGACCTCAAAATTAAGCAAACGATGCTGTTTGTGTCTCGGCTTCGAAAAAAAAGCGAAAAAAAAAAAGCCAAACAGTACCATACTGATTTTCCTTTCCCGGCCAACAGAGCCGACTTTGTTTCTTGATGTTTTCCCTGTTGATTACATTGGTAATACACGGGCAGCGCAACACCGGTTGACAGCACCAGCAGCAACACTGTTGCCGCAGGCAACACAACCAGCAACGCCAACACGACGGGACGGGGGTGGTGACCGTGTTATCTGGCAGCACACAGACACCCTTTGATTGTTAGTAAAGCGTGTTCGCGATGTTGGTCCCGCTTCAAGATACAAGACTGATGATCTGATGCCTTTTTCCCTCTCACTCTCCAGTCGCTTAGCATGATCGATACTAATTCGAAAAAAAACACACACACGCACACACACGCATTATTTTCTTTTTGCAACAGCACTGAGACTGACGTCCTTTAATTGGTCTGCCGGCTAGCGCGGTCGATGCTAACAACACACACCAACAAACACAACCACAAAACACAAAACACACCTGGCAGGCCTTCTCGTTGTTGATGATCTCCGCCTTCTCCTCGTCCGTGAGGAACCTCAGGAAGGGAACGTTCTTCAAAAGGGTGAACCTGCCGCCCGCAAACAGATGAAAAAACAACACGCATGGACGGCGGACACGCGTGCGTAATAGAGCGGCTCAACACACGACAAGGGAGATAGATACACGAGCGATAGGCAAGCGTAGCGAGGCCCAAGGGCAGGCTAACCCGGGACACGCTGGGGGGGGGGGGGGGGG